GAGTTGTGTGTGATAAATGTTGGTTTTAACAGAGTATCTTTCTTCCATTGAAGTGGTAAATGTGAGCGACACTGTGATCTTTATTCATGTAAAGTATGAGATCTTAGATTTAGAAACTAATTTTCGTTCCATTCTTGATTTTAGACATGAACATTTCTCTGTTAAAGACAAAATCGTCATCAAATAAGGTTGTCAAACAACGATGTTTGTGGTTTATATTCACCACGATGATAGACTTGCATAACTATAAAGAAAGTGATTATTGTCGACGGTGGATATGCATCGATGTGTCTTTTGTTCATCATTCCTTTTAGGCTGAGTTACACATAAAAATTAACAATTTGTGCTATGCAGCTGTAGATTCTGTACTTTTGGTAGAAATTTTACATTTCAGGAGCTGCGTGAAGCTTGAAAAATCCTAAATGTAAGTACTTTTTACGTTAGTAGTTTTTGTCATTAATTTTACTGGTAGTACATTGTGAACTGACATTATCTTCTATTATCTTATTGTATAGAAAGTCTTATCAAGAATGGACAGTATATACTTGAATAATATCCTCGACCAATGATCAAGGATGGGACAGTATATGACGTTAGAAAAGACGAGACATGTTTTGTCCATCAATCCGTCTACATCACATGTAGACGGATAAAGTTTGCCCAAAGGAAAGAAACTTCTACTTGGGGTTAATGGGTACAAATGGTACCTTAGCGTAGAGGATGGAAATAGCATCTGTAGGAAGACCCTAGAAGACTGGATCTAGCGAGCAAGAACTTTTAAAGACAAAGGAAAGATGGTGGTTTTTCTGGATAGAAAAAATATCTCTCCCTTAGTACGGTAAAAGCATGCAGTCCTAGTAGTTAGCCACCTTTATTAATTTAAAGGACAAACCCTACTTTGGAGAGAAATGACTAAATAAAAATTTTCTGAAGAAACTTCCAATTCTTCTGTCGGTAAATTTTATTTCGACAAATTGAAACTTAAAAGTATTTTGTTTGTTAAGACATTTACAGATTAGAGGCGGCGTTTCAGTAAGTACTGTAAATGTGAAAAGTGGTATGTTGTCTACTTTTAAAGAAGATTTCATTCCTTGGAATTTCAATACTTTTTGCCACAGTGCAAGCGAGCATAAACGATTAGTACACCAGGTAAAGGTGTGTGGAATGTCTTCATAAAAACCTAAAAAAAAACATAGTTTTAATAAAAGTACCTTGTTTGTTTTCTTTAATGGTAGTATGAAGACAGGTCGCAGACGTTGTCACATATTTTACTTAATAGTAACTAAGGTTTCCATGTTCACCAATCCAGTTGCTGTCAAAGTCAAGTATGTGATAAACGTCAAAATAAAGCATAACGTAAATCAAGCGCCAGCATTTGTTTGGTTAAACTATCCCCAGTCCCTCGGTAACCAAACTCAATGTGTGCTTCTTCAGGTGATCACTGTTGATATTGTTTTTTGATATTGACTTTATTTTTCTAAAATGAGTGTTTGCACAAGAGAACGTCGTTCGGCTCTATAAAATACTTGAAGTACTTTCATCTAATCCATGTCATGAAGCAAGCGCTGGTTCTAAAATTTTAAGTGTTAGTGACACCATTGCGCAAAGCACTGAATGAAATGATGCAAAATAGGGACGCTTGAGTTGCGCTAGATACGACTTGGGTATGGATTAGATGTTAAAAAGCACAGGTTTTACGAAATTCCTATCAAAAACAATTTTCTCGATCAAAGTAGAAAATTGTTAAGTTCGATGATAGATTTGTGTGTAGGTAAACAGTAGCAAATTCCATGTTCGGTAAAAAATGGAGAATTTTACAAAAATGTCGATATACCTTCAAGACCATATTTTCAACCTTGAAAGTGCATTTTAATCTTTCTATTTTACTTTTTTTGGCTCTTTGAATCGCTTTAAAGGTATGTAAAGTTAATTGTTTATAAGGGTTCCTCCGGGGCGCGAAATTACGGCTAAAATCCCTAGTGTTTTTTTCCTGTTTAGTATTCTCCAAGTTCTCGTGAGATTATGTTCGGTCTTGGTTTATACCATTTAGGTTTTGTCATTAGGGATTTTTTTCGGTAAAGTCTAAAAAAACAGTGTCCTTGGTAAGGGACTAAAGTTGTACTTCATGTTATATACAATCATATAAACTAAAGACAGAATTCATTTTGTAAAAGAAGTTGTTTAGAGTACGTGCTCCCGATAAAGTGAACGACGTGACCATGAACCCTTTTTGACCGTTTGACAATCTTTGGAAGATAAATTTTTTTAAATAATTTAATAAATCTTTGATCTGTTTAATTTATTTCAAACAGCTATAATTTACCAAAAATGTCAAACACATCTTTTAGGAGCGATTCAATTTAGTCTTTGGGTTCGTTTTCCAACACTGTTCTTGAGTCAAAAATGCCCATATTATAGTTGAAGTTTTTAAGTAAGTTCTGACGTAAGCATCTCAATTGTACATTGTAATAGAAAAGGCATTTATGGCTTATTCTTATGTTTAAGATAAGTATGTTCAATTTAATTTAATTAAATTTTGCTCTGAAAATGTTCATATTTGTTTATTGACACTTCTCTTCGATTTTGGGAGTAAATGGGATTATGATGTACGTTTGTTTCTTTCCCAGTGGTCCTTTAGTGGTCCAGCAGGTGGTTTGTGTACCGTTGCATGAGTTATAAATGCTTACAAACTAAGTTCACACGTCTCCGATTCAGTCCGATTTATACTTGCTGTGCGACTGTATGACATTTAAAAAAGAATGCCGTGTGTTATGTAAACGAGTACAAAATAATTCATAGTCTTGTGAAAATTGATGAAGACTTGTTACCATTGCCAACCAATCCTTGCAGCAATAGTAAAACACGGTTGTGCAATCATATGTTGCAACTTACTGTAAAACAAGAACATTTCTAAAAGCATACTTAAATAAAAGCAGGAGACTCTAGATTAGGAGGCAAAAATGTCTGCCTTCATGAAAAATCTCTTGCACTATTATGAATTACATGAATCATGTTGTTTTTAATGTTAGTAACGTTATGTTTAAATTGCTGGTGAAAGCTGTAGCTTGTTCTTTATTACTTAGTAGTTTACTACGTTCCTTTGTTATTGTAGTATGTGCTGTCTGCAAAGTTAAAAAAGTTAACAAAAGCTAAATGATGCTATTCGTACAAAACTTTAAACTAAAACTGTCACACAATTATTACTGAGTGCTTTCATGTGACATTAATGTGCGGATACCTAGCAAATGATCTGGGATCTAAGATGATAAAATTAACATATAAATCTTGCGCATGCAACTTTCAACAATTCTACAACCTTTATCATCGATTAAAAAAGATGGATGCAAAAAACAGGTCGTATGATGTGTTCACGGTAGTTTAAGAAGTTTTGTGTAGATGTTGATCAATTTGTTTGTAAGCGAACGTGGGAAACCATTCCATGGAGCAAAATTTTTGATAAATATCTCTATTCTTCTTCAAATTAGATAACGCAATCATATGTTCTTTTGTTAGAAAAAATTCTATGGAATCAACATTACACTATGAAAAAGCGCGCGTAAGGTTTCATAACCATACACGTATGACGTAATGGTCTTTAATGTATTTGTTGTCTATAATAATCATAAATATATCGTACAAGAAAAGAATATGACAAAGTTTGTAGAACTTGAATATCGATGACAGGGTCAAGCGTCGATCCCACATCATAGATTGCGTTGTCTTGACTCTAACAATTACCAATCGGCTACACAAGCGTTCATTGTAGTTAACGAAAAAAGTCGTAATGTTTTATAAAATAGTGATGTTGGAATTGCTGTCTTAAAAACTGATGATTTCAAAAATTCTTCACTTTTTGCATGTTTGGACCCAATTATTTCTTAAATTTCAAAAATTTTCCATTGATACTACATCATTTGATTTGTTTTTTTCACGCCCTATCTTTGGTGAGAATATGGTAATTGGTCATATAAACTTTAATGAATTCCGTCTTTGGATGGCCCAATATTATTTTAATAGATGGCCTAATTCAAATACGTTGGAGTTTTTGTATTTATGAAATTTTACGAATGAAAATGTTATAAACTCGAAATTTACAAATTCTTACAGGTTATATTTTGCCTCGGGAATAGACAAAGTTGAAACAGATGCCAAATAAGTGCTGAAACGCCGTGGCCTCCCGTAAACCTTAGGCATTAAGTTATTCTTTCAATTCACCATCCACTATATGTTCGTGAAGTTGTCGAGAAAGTTATACACCAGTATTCTAAAAACTCACAAAAACTCTAACCCTCAATGTGTGCAACACAAAAGTCTTGATCTTACTAGTCAATGCAAACTCATTTCCCCATCAATCTATGATATAAGATTTTTGGTAAAATACTTCAAATCAAGCAATCAGTGGAGTGAATACAAGGTCTTCCAGCAGTTATAAGACTATTTTTAAACTTTATTCAATGAATGTGGGTGTGTGAGAGTTTTTAGAAAACAGGTGATACAGAGAGAGGTAGTTAACCTTACCTGTATATTCAATATTCATTAAATAAATCAAATTAAAACTAATTAAAATATTAAAGAGTTCATTATAAGAAATTCTGTTGATCACATGAAAAATGTTATTTAATTCAACTAATTTGTATTGATTAGCTACGTAATTAATTTGAAATAGTAAAACAAAAAAGCACTCCTAAATTCTACCTATGGAGTTGCTCAACAGACGATTCTTAGGTTTACAGCAAAAGCAACCCCCAAGAGCCCATAACATCAGGACCAGACTTTTAAGCTGCGTTCTATACCAGATTCACTCATCACGACATCTTCATTTGCTGTAAAGGCTTCATTTGTTTTTTTAATTGCCTTTGTTCTGTCTCTTCAGACAATAAATGTTTATTAAATTCAGAGCTTAAGTCTAATTAATTGTGCTTCTGGCATAGGCCATTATCACTGCCTTTTAATACTTTAATAAACGGGACCTTGGTAATATTGTAACTACAGAAATACCATTTACTATCGTATAAGAGTTTTATTATGTATTTTATAAAGTTGACTTTAAATGTCATACGTCTTAAACAAAAGCAATTGAGAATAAAATTTAAATAATCAGATATTGTATCATTCAATAATGTGAGCTAGATGCAGAAATGTGATTATGCATCATCCAAATACGTCGTGAAAAGTGTTTTGCTACTTTACATCTATAAAATAAAACCTTTAACTACCGTATCGTCGATTTCTTACTTGTTTTCCTGTCAGTAAACTTTTCATTGTAGTTCGCTTTCATTAAAAACTGAACAAGCTCTTAAGTTCTGGGTTGTTTTTAATTCGTCATTACATCAGACAGCCACACGCACCCAAACTATGATTTCAAAAAGAACTCCTTAGGATCATTAACTTTATAAAATGGATGGTTTGAGTGCTGGTCGCAATCAATCGACCTGTCAATGAAAGCCAACAATCAAAATAATCATATACGTGAAAAATTAATTTGTCTTTTCCAATTTGAGTAAATTCTATTTTACACGGTATCTTTCCTGTTCACTTGCCTTTTCACAAACTGTTTTTACTGTTTAAAAACTGTTTATTTTATGTGGTTTCTTTTCACTGAAATTGAAAAAGTTCTTGAGATCTGGATTGTTTTTCACTTCTTCTTCATTGGACCTCACAATAGCATGCACTCGAACAGGGAGATTAGGGAATTTTTTGAGAATATACGCCTTGTGATCGCCAATCTTATAAAATTGTTCTAGTTGTGGTCTTGGCCGTGGTCGATCGTTCCAATGTTGGTTAATATTTCGAATAAGTCTTAAACATTCTGTCCATGAAGAGCCATATATAAATATTTTTTCAGTCACCACGTCCGTTCTAAAATAATCATAAACATCACTGTCTATTTTACTTTTCCAATCTGCGGATTCACTATTCAATTGTTGAACGACACTACACAGGGGATCATTTGTCTTAATCTGCTGAAGATTTCCAACTTTACATAATAAGTCAAATTTCTCGTCATCCGACATAAGAAATGGGTGTTTTAACGCCACGGTAGCCGATGGTCTGTCTTCTGGTTGTCGATTTAACATCCACGACAGAAGGTCCTTTAGTGTTTCATCCTCGATTTCATCCAAACCAACAGGGTTTCCTTTTAACATATTGTCCAATCTAAGCCGTTTCGTTCCAAAAGGGTGTTTTCCTTTTGTTGCAATATAATAAGCTACCATTCCTGCATTCTAAAAAGAATAACAATGTAATGTTACAAATTGACTTTATACATGCATGTCGTGCAAATGGTTATATTCCTGCACCTACCATTACATCAGACTCTTTCTTGTACCGTCCTTTATCGACTGTATCTTTATCTTCACAATATGATTCAGGAGCAATCCAATACTCAGTTCCCGTGTTAGGCTTGCTTTCATATGTCGTACAATCATTATTCAACATTCGACTAATGCCAAAATCAGCTATCAAAAATTTGCCTTGTGAATCTCGAAGAACATTGGTGGGCTTTAAATCACGATGAAGAATAGGATTTGGGCCGCTATGAAGATCAGCTAATCCTTGCAAAATTTGTCAGAGAATTTCGGGAAGAGCTTTTTGAAGATCGTGTGAAGTAGAAGACTTGACAAAACTCTCCAATGACTCTTCACATAAGTCTAACTTCAAATATACATATTCTGTTCCAGTCTCTTCCTCTAGGAAAGAATAATTCACAACATATTTCGACTTTCTTGCGTTGAATTCATTCAAAATTTTCTTTTCGTGCAGCGCAAGCTGGTTGTAGCTATCTCGATGTATTCGTTTTACTGCTTTACCGTAACCATCCTTACCCAGTCCAAGAAAAACACGGGTTGCATCACTTCCTTTGCCAATGCAAAATTCTTTTGAGAAAATTGCCCACCACTTTAACCTTGTCACTGGAATTGCGTCCATATTCAATCAATTTTAAAAACAATTCTCTATGTTTCGTTGACTCATCAATGTATTTCCACTCTTGTAACACTAATTCTAAAAAAATTAGATAAAATATTACATTCAAAGGTGAAAGAAACGAAATAAATACGTCAAAATAGCTTAAACTTTCCCATTCAGGAAAAGATATTATTAGCTCCGGCTCATTTTTGAAAAACTTATCAACAACCATTACACAAATCATAAGTTCTTTAATTGTACAAACAATCCATTGTAGGCAATTAGCCAATCAAAACTAATTTAAATCTACATTCAAAGAAAGATTACTAATTTCCTTTGATAGTTCGTTCATATAAAAACACTTTTAAAAACATGGAAATTGTTCCTGTAACCTAACATAATTGTTTTGCAACATTATCACATTTCCGCGTCATAAAAGAAACCTGGTCATCAGTTTATATAAAACTGGAGCCAATGACTGGAGCTTGTGGCATAGCCACATAGCCACTACTTGGAACTTCCACTAGAGATATAACAAAGTTCAAGTGAATGTAATTTAGTTAAACACGAAGGTAAATTTCCTACCTGCGAGGATTTGAGCTTTGGTGGCCATATTTTATAAAACGATCCTCTGCGTTCTGTTTTGAAGAACCACGGAAGTAAATAACATGCTCCAGATGGTCCATCTTCGGGAGCATCCGAAAGATGGTAGACAGGTGTAGGTATCTTGCAGGCAAAGCCAAAGTATGTTAATTACTTCAAAAGTTCACTGAAGATATCTTCATCGTCAAAAATTCCAACCACAAACATCTAAACAAATCAGGTTACAGTGTTAGTAAAGACCAGGAAACTTTGTTAGTAAAGACCAGGTTACTATTAAATGAAGATATAATCTTCGCACTTTGCTGGACAATTTAAGCAATTGTCTCATGAACCTGAAAAATTCAGGTGACTCAACGGGATTCGAACCCATGACCTCTGCGGTGCCGGTGCAGTGCTCTGACCAACTGAGCTATGAAGTCACACAAAGTAGAGCACGTCAATTTTGTTGGGCTCTTGTTTTCTCGTGAAAGGAACGTCATATGAAAGAATGTTATATGCAGTGCGGTGTTTGAAATCAAATGAAGATATGATCTTCGCACTTTCCTGGACAATTTAAGCAATTGTCTCATGAGCCTGAAAAATTCAGGTGACTCAACGGGACTCGAACCCATGACCTCTGCGGTGACGGTGCAGTGCTCTGATAAACTGAGCTATGAAGACACACAGTGGAGAGTCTCCTTTCACGAGAAAACATGAGCCCAACAAAATAGACCTGCTCTCCACTGTGTGACTTCATAGCTCAGTTGGGCAGAGCACTGCACCGGCACCGCAAAGGTCATGGGTTCAAATCCCGTTGAGTCACCTGAATTTTTCAGATTGATGAGACAATTGATTAAATTGTCCAGCAAGTGCGAAGATCATATCTTCATTTAATTTCAAACACCGCACTGCATATAAAATTCTTTCATACCAGGTTACTATATTAAAAAGACTAATTTACGACTAATAATTAACTATTGTAGGTACTGATTACGTGTTATGTAAGACTAATAAAATTACAAACAACAACAAACCAAGATAGATGTTAACATGATACAAACCTTAAAATTTTCTAAGACATAACAGCATTTTGAAGCAATTCAATTTTGTCGTGATCAAACATAAACTTTACAATACCAATCATTCTAATGCTTTCGTTGTACTTAAGACTAAAATCGCGCCGAAATATTTTCTTGAGCAAGGATCCAAGCCAATACGGATTCAAAACAATATTTTTTTGCATACCTTGGATGTCCTAGCGTAAGAAAATTGGGGAAAAAACATGCAAATTAATATATTTTTTTATAGATCGTCAGTTGATGTGGGAGATAGTCAGGGATCAATTACAGTTGTAAAAGTAGTGACTTTTTTATTATATTTACTATGTATAATTGCTCCTCTTTACCACCTTTGATACACAGTTGTACTGGCAAAAATTACTTCTTTCCTACACCATTGTACATACAAGATATTAAGCTCACCTTAAAATACTGTAGCTCACCAATGGTGTCAAAATACGAAACACAGGATCGCAATTCACACTCTGTAACTTCAATTTTCCGAATGATTAACAACTCGTGAAGCTCGGAAAAAGATAAACACGGCACTTTAAGGGTGCTGCGAAGGGCTTTGATCTCTTTCTCGACGTTCATCCATGATTCTGGAAGAGTTATGTCAACATATGGGAACAGATTTTTATCCCTAGCGATCCTCACGAGTTCACGCCGTAACCTTAAGGTGCCTGCCAGCGATTTGTTGCTAATGGCAATGGCATCCAAGGCTAAATTGCCGTCTAAGTTCTCGTGCTCTTCCTGGAAGAAATGCTTTGAAATTTAATCATCATAAGAAATAAACTATGTGTGTGTTAGTTAGTAGTTACCAGGATGCAAAAGACAAATAAAAAATGTTTACGTTCTTTCTGTCTGTTTAAACTATGATATCAAATTGAACGGTAAGAACAAAAACATGCAAAATGTAAAATAAAATATTTACCTTATAATGTAAAGACAAAACAGGCAGTTTATCTTTCTGCTCTTGAAGTTGCTCCATAATTTTTGACTCTTCATCAGAAGAAACACAATGTTCCAGTTTACGTTTAACGTTTTCTATTATTTCACGTAACATTTCCTTGCGTTGTTTCTTCAAATTTTTCACAATATTTCGACATTTCAGATCGATCTCTTCTTCATTACGACATAGGTCAACGTGTGTAGGAACCAATAGGATTTTAGCTTTAGGAACACGTGATGCAACTAGAGATATCCATTGTGCAACTTCTTCGTGATAATTTGCAGAATTTTCAAAAACGTAACGAAATAAATTCACCACCAAGATAAATAACGCTCCTAAATTTGAAAACAACATGTACATTAGTAACGTACTATGTCGAGAGGATAGTAGCGATGACTAGGTACGTATACACATTCGGTTTCTTTAACCTGTTACTGACGGAATTTTTATAGATGAACTGCAATTCATATTCACAAATGAGCCATGACGGTAAAGTTCTCACGAGTTTCATAAACGTATCTAAATTTATCTTCGGAGAGTAAAAGTTGAGGAGTCATTTGATAAGCTTTCTGTCCTGCGCAATCAATAACCATCAACTCCAACTCGTCCACAAGTGGTTCAGGTTTCCAATTGTAAAACACGACACCAAATGTTCTGTCATCTTCATTTATCTGCGTCGATTCACCCTCCATCAACATTTTTACAAGACATGTTTTTCCCGCCATAGACTGTCCCAATATAAGTACCTAAATACAGTTACATAAAAAACGTTATTATGTACTGGAACTTGAAAACTTCAGTCAAACAGCACAATCTGGACACCAGTTCATACAAGAGTGACGTAGACAAGTGACGTAGCCAGGCCGCGAGTTTGGTCGTGCAACGGAAATATTCACTCACAGTAAAAACAATACATTTCTTAACAAATGAACAATGTTAATGATCTGAAATATACATAACATGACCGAATGTGCGAGCTGGCTGCCAGAGACTTAAATGCATGGTATAGATAGCTATTAAAATACATGGCCGAAAAGGCACAATCCTCTGTAGCTATATGATGTACTAACCTTTAGTCGTTTTGAATGAATATCTTTAGTTTTATCCATAGCGTGATAATAACTACGGATACTTTGTATTCCTTGATTACATACACCAACTGGTGGAACTTGTAAAGGATTATTGTCACATAAAAGTGTCTCCATTTGTCTAAGGTGTTTTATGTTTCGAGGTAGGGAAGACAAGAGATTCTCATGAAGATTAAGATATCGCAACTCCTTTAACTGGCCAATAGATCTTGGTAGAGTTTTTAATTTATTCTGATTAAGAACCAAGTGCCTCAAATTGACAAGGTTGAATAAATTCTCGTGTTAAGCCATCAACAGATTGCTGTTCAAATGTAACTTCTTCAAATTGATCAACTCAAAAAGTTCATTGGGAAGAGTGGAAAGTTTGTTCTTTGTAAGCTGTAATTGCTCTAATTTTTTCAATTTCTTGATATCTTCTGAGATATCCTGTAGTTACTGTCGCTTACATAAAGTTTATGTAGATTTGAAAGTCTTGTAACGCATGATGGTAGATGTTTCAATAAATTATTACTTATATCAAGAATTTCCAGATTTTGTAAATAAGCAAAAAGCTCAGGAAGGCCAGTAAGTTGACAATTACTGATACACAGCTCCTCGAGATTAATCAACCTGGTTAAATGCGCAGGAAAAGTTCCCAAATTATTGTTTCGCGCAAATCCAACACCTTGAGTTGGCTAAGATTACCTAAAGATTTCGAAATGATATATGGAGGACTTTCCTCATTTTCATTTTCACAACGACACAATACCAAATGTTCCAAGTTTTCCATTTTGCCCAATTCATGGGGGATCGTAATGTAGTTGGTAAAAATCTTGAAAACTTGCAACTGAGGATGAGAATAAATGTTCACAGGAAAATCTGGAGAAGGATCATAGCTGGTCAAGTCACATGTCACCTTACCATCGATATTATTGATGGTAGGGGATGTTGGTGGGAAATTATAATCGATGAATTGAAAGTCTTCTTCAAAGTCATCCATATTGAAGACACCTTACTGATGACAACCGTTTGCTTCTAGGGAAAATATGAAAAACAATAATGGAGTAGTTAATGTTGTACAAAAAAATTGACTGGTAATAAGATCTGTGATGAAGAAGAATAAGACAAATACAAAAGGTTAATTTGAACCATGATGAATAGCAAATACAGTTTTTAATAATAAGACTTACATACGTTAGTTTTTAGTATCATTTTAAACAATTCATCAAATAAACTCTCATTTTCTAAGTAATTTAAGGTAAACACATATACATTTATACACTAAATATGGGGGTTAATTAACCTACAATTTTACTCAAACAATAAACTTAACTACAATACAAAGCAAAACCAAATATTTGCAAGTTTTAAGTAGAAAAAATAGCTTTACAATGAAATGAATGATGGTGTAATGATTTCTTAATGAAGAATGACTTACTCTTAGGAATGGTTACAAATATACTGACACTAGCCTTGAAATCAACACCATTATTATTGATATTTGATGCAATTTTGTAGCTTATTGAAGAGGTCAAATACCTGTAAAGGTTTTTCAGCAGGGTCTGTTGTACTTGAACTTTTTTATACTTTTTACTTTTATATTACTTTTATACTTTTTTATACTTTTTTATACTTTTTTATACTTGAACTTTTTGTACTTGAACTTTAATAATGTTAAAGTCACTAAAATGAGAAAATATCTTCACTGTGTGGAAAATAATGATATGGCTTCAATATGTACCTGAAAAATAGTTTCTTTTCAACAGTTTGGCAGTATTCAAGTTAAATCGTAACTAAATGCCGCAGATAACAGAACAGGTGCTTTCGAGAATACATAATACTTTAGACACTAAAACTAATTACAAATCAATTTAAACAAGATACCGTACATCAACTGATCCATTCACGTCAAAATAACATTTAATCATATTATTTAATGATTTATATCATTAGGAATAAACACAAGTACAAAACACAAAGATGATTACTATGTAATTTTCGTGAAGTCTTCCGCATTTCCTATGCCACTATTTTACATCCGCTGCCTGGCAGACCGGACACACACGGCACCCAACGTAGGGTTCCGATGAGTAATCTCGATTCTAATCAATAATATCAATCAATCAAACAATCAATAAAATTTATGCAGTCGTAAATTTTGTGGAAATAGATTCAAAACTGCCATCTAAATACTAAGCTTAACAACCATTTGGAAATATTGATTAAATAGGTCAATAATATGGTAGTTGTCACCATAGATAAGTCAGGTTGTCATTAAACCATAACATGATTGTCACCACAGATAACGGTGGTCTCTATTGGTAAGATTGTCACCATAGAAACGATTGTCACCATTCAAATGGTTGACACCACAAATATATCATTTTGACCATTAATAATGCGCTCACGTCTTTCGATGTCTTACATAAAATAAGCTTAACATAATTTGCATTTAAAAAATGAAATGTTATCATAAAGAATAGCTTAGGGCAAAACTAAATAAAATTTTAAGTTAGTTTAAATCGACACTAACTACGTTGACAAGTTTACAGACACAAAAAAGTTAGTACTCTGCTGATAATGCGGATACAGTTTAAGATAGCACGATTCTTCATTAACACAGAGAACAACGAGAACTTCTATTTTAGTTCAGAGATGTTGAGGTCTTCTATCTGAGAGTTTTTCCAGAGTTTCGTCGCGTTGACGCCACAACACTATGCAAAATATTCGTCTTACACAAAGGATTACTTCACTTTGAAAGTATTTTGAAAGCTCAAAACTAATCCAGGATTAGCTCTGGTGGTTTTAAAAGAAACCCTTTTCAAATACCATATTCATATACATCCGGTATTTACACTCTCTTTGTGGGTTCACAAGTCTGCTATTATAAATGCAAGAATTCTGGTAAGATATGAAGAAGATTTAAACAAAAAATGAATAACGCCAGTTAACGACACAAAAATGATTTAAAAGTTACACGTACAAGGACCGGCAGTAAAATCCTCCACAAACTGTCGTTTAATCAGAAAATTTGTTTTTACTATACGCTAATAGAAAGGCTTGTTTATTTTTAAACTTTAATTAATTAAACTGCTTATTGCAGTAATGTATTTTAAACAAAAAACACGTTAAAAATAACGATTCCTAATGATTTAGTAAATGGGGCACTCCGATTTCTAGCCGGAAGACAAATAAAGAATTTCACATAGATTAAGACAAGTACGAACCCTTTTAGCTACTCAAATTGGCACAGGTTTTAAGTCATTTCATGTTTGTTAAAAGCCATCAATTCGCACTTCCGAGTGGCTGTAATGAGCACACTATAAAGAAGACATATTTGCTGTTGTCGACAATGAAATGTTTATTGTCAGTTATCGAGGTGTCAAAATGACACACGCCTCAAAGTCCCACTACTTCTTTAAATAATTACCTTATCTTCTCAGCTTAAAAATAAAGTGTTGTGTTTTCAAGACTTGTCTCATGCAGTGTCGTTAGGCGTTCAATCAGGAAGGAGCTATATAGATCTTCGACTGAAGAATATAGAGCATTCAAAAGAAAAAAGACATCACTTATCTGTACTTTAATCAATCAAATAATGGAAGCATCTGCAGGAAAGACAGCCTACTCTGTGCGAGACATATTGAACATGCCTCAAAGAAAGGAAGACCAATCCAAAGTCGATGTAAAACGCACAAAGGAGTCCCTTTCGAAAGGATCTTCGCTGGATAAACTAGGAGCAAGACAATCTACAACTTCGGTGAACAATGACCTTTACAGAAAGGAGTCGAACCTTAAAGGTAAGGCCAGACATCAGAAATGGGTTTTGAGATACGACTTTAAACAAGTCATTATCAATGACTACAGCTAAGCGGTTACAAATTTACTGCTCAATTAAATTCCTCTAGTCACTTATAAATGCTAAGCATAACGAGTTTTTGGAAGTTAATAAGTTGAAATAATAATTTTTGCCCTTGTGATAAGCCACTCGAGTACTCATATGTAGTTTTGGCAAAGAAAGTATTCTTATAATGTAATTACATTTGATGAGCTTTTGAAAGGAAGGCATGGATTTTCATGTGATAGCGAGAAGAAGTTAAAATAATTTGTTCACTTCTTTTGTAAATTAAGGAATCATATATCTTTGCTACAGCAGATGCTCAACAAGCCATCAGAACATTGTCAAACTCTGACTCAGAAACCCGGCGCAAAAGCATAAAAGCAAAACAGAAGAAACGAAAACGACGCGTCCTTTTCACGAAGGCTCAGACGTTTGAACTCGAAAGAAGATTTTGTCAGCAAAGATATTTATCAGCGCCCGAACGAAAACACCTTGCCAGAATGATTTGCCTGACTCCAACACAAGTGAAAATTTGGTTTCAAAATCACAGATACAAACAAAAACGACACATAAGTGAACATGGAGAGGGTTGTTTTGATACTCTGAGTATGGCTCATGGCATTCACTGCCCAATATACATAAGAGAGGGAGTTGTATATCATAATACCGCAGGAAACTATACCTCTTATTTCCCACCGCACGAAGGTGAATTTTGCAGTGGTTATAAACCAGGGCATTTAACTACAGCATATTTTTTTCTCAACAACACATTTCCACTTGTGGTAAGCGCAAAAACACAAGATTGAAAAAGTTGGGGAAGCAAAATTGGTAAAATATAATCGCAAAGTTTAACTAAGTCTTAACGACTTCGAGAAGCAATTGCTTATGCAACTGTACAATAATAATCGTGAAAATTTTTACCACAACAAACGTAAGTGCAGACAAATATCATTGAAAGAAAAGCTGGGATCAATATTCTTAACAAAAGACCAATGATATTACGTGGTATAGGACCAAACGATATCATGGAGAAAAAGCTAATAACCTTGGCAAAGATTGGAGATATTTTAGAATTTCGTCTAACAGCTGAAAGTGTAGCTTCTAACATATTTTTGGAATATACCGTGTTTAACTCAACAAAACCTGCGTCCATGTCTTCTTGTTCTCCCAAAGATAATTTCACTAAATATTGACTCCAAGTAAATGAAGCGTTTACTCTGTTTACACGACTGGCATAATAACAAGCAGCAGCCAATGCCAGCGGTTGAATATCTAATGCTTGCGATACTTCATTCAACAATTGATCATCAGCATTTTCAATAGTGTAATGCTTCAACAGTTGAAAACATTCCTTATCATTGATTCCACTTTTGATAGAAACATGTTTGTTAAACTCATCTTCTTGAGGTACGGTATCTGTGTTCTGGATGGTTACTATGATTTGTCTGTTTATCCACATGGGATCACCTACTTGGGGAATTAACGAAGAAATTTTGCTGAGCTGTGCCACGTTGTCTACAATGATCAACAAATTTTGCCACAATGTTATTCGAGTGGAAAGTAATGATTGCAAATTCTTCACTTTGTCTATGATGGAATAATTTTCACGTTTAATTTTTGTAATCATAATTTGTCACAGTATAAACGGTATCAAAGTTCATGTTACTTTATTGTTAAAGCAGAAACAAAACGACATATATTTAATAGTTTAAGTTACATAAATAGCGTTGTTCTAAACCATGCGGTGTCGAGCAGAACAGAAGATAAAGTGTGTGTAAGTGTAAAATTAGCATACAATAAGTAGTGCTTACCAGATCATGTGACTAGTACTATGATCAGATATCTTATACTTAGTTT